TCATACCGTAATTGCTTCGGTAATGGTTCTTGAGGAATGCATATTCTCTTACAGGCTGTTAGGATCTTTTAGAACTTTAGTTTAACTATTCAAATAATTTCAAGACATTCTAATTCTTAATACTATATTTACTTTTTTATTTACTAATTCTTTTACTGACATACATTGATATATTTTTTTTCTTATCATGTTATATTAATATAATACCTAATTCTAATTCAGAAATATCAATAAAAAAGATAAATAACTTTGTAAAATCTGAATAAATAATGATTAGTGATAATATTATTTTTTAAGTAAATTAAAAGTCTTATGATTTTTCTGTTTATCTAAACTCTATTTTTCTTGAATAGCTTGTAAAGTACTATTTTGGTAAAATCTTTTAGTATACTTGAATATTTCATGGATCGGAACTGGCGGATCGGAAGAGCCGGTGTCGATCCGCAATATCACGTGGTCCTAACTTTTAGGGGTCGCCCTGATATAAAATAATATAAACTTTCCTGCCTTACTAATGTCTCTCGATTGACAGAATACTTGTATAACTTCACGTTATTTATCCCAAAAATAATCAAACCAAATATTATTACCTCGTATTATATGAGGGGGTTACTAATTTAAGGGGATACTATATGCAACGCTATATAACGCTGTGAAAAAATCATCGTGTTAAAAAGAACAGCTCTTTACAGATGGTTTTCAGCTTCAATATCTGTGAAACTGTCAGCAAGACCGAAAGCTTATTTCACAGCCATCACGAAGTCTATGGCATGACATAATGAGCCACAATCAAGGAAGGCAACCCGCCAAACGGAAATCGAAAAGATCTCGGCAGGGAAGTCCCATCGTATCTACCTTTTTCCCAGCCAGGAAGAATAAAAGATGGATTAGAACAGCGCGATACCTATAATCGTTGCCTCTCTGTGGTCGAGAAGGAAAGAACAAAAAAGAGCTACGAGCTTATGCTAGCAATTTTAGTACACAATTTCAGTGTGTTCTTGAAGCGCCTTACAATGTACGAGATGAAGCTGTGAATAATTTGCTCAAGGCCTATAAATCGAATTACTCTATACTCTACAAATCGCAAGTTCTAAAAGATCCTAACAGCCTGTAAGAGAATATGCATTCCTCAAGAACCATTACCGAAGCAATTACGGTATGA